CCTGAATCGCAACAGGACTTCCCCCACTTGATCTCATCAAGTCTTTATTTTAGCCAAAACTATTCCTTATCCTGTAGAGATGTGGTACTGACTTGCAAACTTTTCGTCCTTCATTAGACTTTTATTTAAAAAACGACATATCTCTAAACAGCAACTTCGTGTACAAAATTTCGTGAAAGTAACCTAGTTTCGGTCGATACCAGTGAAGTTAGAGCTTTGTATATGGGCCCAGGCCTACCTTAAGTACCCAATTCTCACAGTACCCACTAAACCCTCGTCCTACATCTCAGTCGACCTACTGTGGCTTTCCAAAGCAATATTTTTTCTCATAAAAATAACTTATCAGGCAGACGATGACCTCCACTCAATTTTGTATCAGTCGGACAAACTGTTTTAAGTGATGTATATTTTCTAACCAAGAAAAGTATACGCTCGACCTCTCCCTCCCGTTGAAAAGTACCCAACACTACACTCCGATTAACGGATAGCCGACTGGATTCATTCTCCCCGCGGTTGTTTATGTTTATTCATGCCCCGATAAACTACAGGTCAATCGGTATTGTTACCACCGTCTTGTTACCTTCGTTTCTTCTCAGGTACTCACTTCTCTTAAATATTGTAGCAGTGCAGAGTGGCGTACGCCAAAGCTGTTTATGGTGTCGTGAAGCTACGACTTGTTATATCCAAAGCAATACTAGTCAACTTACATAATGCCCTGTATTGCTCTCGAACCTGACCGCTATCGAAAAACCTTCACAATTGTCCAAACGAAAATAGAAGAAATAAAATAAATAAAAGGAAATCATAACTGTAAAATGTAGCACCAACAACAGTGAATCTCTTTCGACAACAGGACCTACAGAAAAACGTTTCAAATTATAGGTCTAATCAGCTGTTTAGACATCTAGAAAAGAAAAAAACTTGCATCAAAGTCCTTTACTCTACCGATATTATCATGCAAAAATACTGTATAGCATGGCATCTGAACGCATGATTCATTGGTTGATTGGAAAAACTGCTTTGCTA